CCAGCAGGTCAGGTTTCCACTCTAGTTTGAGTCTTTGAATTGCTTATCTATTGCTTTCATCAGATTCTCAAAGGAATCTCTAACTCAAAGCACATTCACAGCCCTTTGAAAGAACTGGCTGGGCGGCAAATGGTGACCATTTGCTTTACAGATAAGGAAACTGAGCTGACTTGCCTGAGGCCAGGATGGTGTGCAGTCAGAAGTAAAACTATTTTTTCTGACTTTTGGTTCCTTTCATTACTCTTCTGGCCTCCCTGCTGATATTTCTAGAGAGTCTTCAGTTACCATATCCTGTTCCCTTTTCCACAGCAACTGAGGGAAATCAGTGAGAAAGGAAAGAATTTGCTGGACTTTCCAAAATGACATGTGATTTTCAGGCTCTATGATCTTCTAATCATGAGCAAATTTTGCCTAGACCTAAATCTCTTCGGTTTGTGTGGGCAAGTGAGTCAGTCTTCCTGGCCCATATCCAAACACACCCCTATACCAAGGAAGACAATGTTAAAGTCACACTCAAGACAGGGAAAGAATCCTAACAGTGTGTTTTCTTCAAGGTCATCAGCACACCTGCTACCGGAAGCACAAGTTCCCACAAGTTTCTGACAGACAGGGATGGTTCCATCCTTGAACCAGGCGGTTTGCTCATGTCAAAAATGAGCATTTACATTACAGGAAGCTCTCAGTCCACAATTGGTAAAGTGAGGAGAGAACTTTGGTTGCCCATAGTCAGTCATCCCACTGGGCTTTGAGTCTGCCTGGAAGACAATTCTGTATGATGGCCACACATGGTTTAGGGAGAGGTGGAAGAATAAAGAACAACTCAATCCACCAGGTGAATCTCTCCAATCAAAACACACAGCACAGCTGCAAGCCCAGGATTACCTGACCCTTATCTGATCTTGGAGTGCTTCAAGATCCAGAGCCCGCAAACAGCAGAGGATCATCCCACATGAAGCCAGGACTGGAAGCAAATACCAGCTAGGAAAATGAAGGAAAATCAGGGCCAGGGAAGGCACCTGTCTGCGCTATGGAATAAAAGTCTTCTTTCCCCATCAAAATGGAACCAGGAGGTTCTTGCAGAGGCATATGCTTACAGACCTGAGGAAAAAAATGCAACCTCTAAGGCAAACAAAATGACCACTTCCACTGGTTTTAATTGTGTAAATGAAATAGTCTCAAAGTTTATCTGTGCTATAAGCAACTGAGAAACATTTTCCCCATAGATACGTAAATAGCAACAGTGGTGGAGAGAAAGGAAAAGCAGCAATGGGCTGCCCCCAGCAAGGGCACATGCTAAAGGTTTCAGTGCCAAGTCCATCAGAAGAAAGATTTCAGGGCAGTCCATTGCTACCTGCTCCCCACGCCCTAGAAAAGCTATGATTCCATGCAAAAGGTGAACCTAGCTGACAGCAGGTTCAGTCACGGAATTCCAAGTATAGGACAAAACCCACAATGGTGTGAAAATCTTTTTTTTCATTGTGGTAAAATATACATAACATAGAATATACCATCTTTGCCCTTTTTTAGTGTGCAGGTTAGTATTATTAACTATATTTAGAGATGTGTGCAACCAATCTCCAGAACTTTTCCATCTTGTAAAACTGAAAATGTACACCCATTAAACAACTCCCCACTTCCCTGTCTGCCCAGCCTCTGGCAACCATCATTCTACTTTTTCTTTTTATGCACTGAACTGCTTTAGACACCTCATATAAATGGAATCATACAACATCTGTCTTTTTGTGACTAGTTACTTCATTTAGCGTAATATCCTCCAGGTTCATCCATGATGTAGCATGTGACATGATTTCCTTCCTTTTTAAGGCTGCATGATATTCTATTATACGTGTATATCACATTTTGTTTATCCATTCAGAATATCTAGCTCTATATCTCAGGGGTATGGTTCTGTTGCTCTGGTGGCGTACAAGTTACGGAATTCAATTTGTAATGGTCATGATTTTATACAGAGAAAGAGAGAGGTGGGGGAGAGGGTGGTAGGTGGGGGGCTTGATTGAATGAGGTTTGGACTCCAAGAGAGGAAAAACAAGCTAACCAAGCTAACTAAAGCTGCAGCTGAGCTCAATTCCATCACTGCAAACTATCTCACCATCCCACTCTACCTCAAAAATGAAACTTTTGTTCACTGTATATTCCTAGGTTCTGGAAAAGGGCTTAGCATATAGTTGACACTCAGTAATATTTGTTGGCTGAATGAGTCTAGAAGAGTGATTGCTCATGAAGAGAAAAGCACAAGGGTAGCAAGATATGCTATGTGCTTGATTTTGATTGATCCAGCTCATCTGAACATACTATTCAAGAAACCACCAATATGTATTGACATGGAAAGATCTCCAGTAACTATTTTCAAAGGAATCAGGTTACATATCGATAAACAGTATAATTCACTATATGTAAAAACAAATGCACAAATCAAAACAATAAATACATATGTATATAATAATATAGCTGGATAATATGCTCCAAATCCAACAGTTTGATGACCTCTGGATTGGAAGGGGATGAGGACAAAGGGCAGAAAGGGAACTTTGTTTGAATTTCTATTTGTAGTGTTTGGATTATTTACCAGAAGACATTACTTTTGTATTGTTAGCAGAACTTTTTTAAGGAAAAAAATCTGAAAGGCTAATTTGTCATAAAAATACATTGATTCAATGTATAGTACATGAAACCTTTCTCAGAGAGCTACTGAAGAATGTGCTCCACTAAAATGATGGGGAAAAAAATCAAAAAAAGAAGACACAGGATAGAGGAAACAGGAACCAGGATAAGAGAGGGAGGCAAAAGGAATCCCCAAGCTGATGTGAAGAGAGAACCCAATGTTACAGCTGTGCATCCAACATCAAGGGCAACCAGGCTGGATGGGCCAATCAGGTCGAAAAGTTGTATCCCACAAGATAAAATTGACTGGAATAGACGTTGCAATAGAAGATCTTGAGAGAAGATTTAGACAACTGGCAAAGAACTTATGGATAAATAGTGAAAACTCTATAGAAAATTCTGCAAACACACACAGAAAGACAGCTCTGAGGGAAAACAAAATAAAGGGAAAGGAATCATGTACTACATAATTCAGCTCTTAACAGTGGATAGGAAGGCATACTAATGTAGACCAAACTACATACTGACCTAACTAAAAATTATAAGATAACTGTATTCTGAAGACAGATGGAAGGAACAGGAAAGATGCATGTGAGCTGTAGGTGGAGGAACACAAAAGAAAGCTCAATCCTCATATCACAGGCTGGAAAGGCAGTGTATGATGACTAAATCTGAGAAATCAAGAAGGAGCAATATAAACATTGTTTACAGACATGAGTAAGTACCAACTAACTAAAAGAGACGAATATGATTGCTCTTCCTGAAAAGAAGGAAATGGAGGTTCTGCTGTTTTTTGTAATAAACCTTATGGAATTATTTGCCCCTGATCTATGTATATATACAACTTCAATAAAATTATGAAGGAAAAATTAAAAAAAACAACAACTGAGACCCACATCAGAATACCTTACCTAACAATTTCTTGTTGTTGTTCTTACAGGAAAATAGCTGTTGTGGGACATAAAGAAATAACAGAGTTATAGGTAGGATGGCCACTTTGGGGTCCAACACTGGATAATTCTACCAGAAGTTTGGTAAGGAGAGTCACTCTGAAAGTGGCTGGGCTTTCCAAACTATACTGAAAACCCAAGATTAAGAACCCAGGGAGAAAGAAAAAGAGACAAGACATATTTCAGATCCAGTATTTACCAAATGCTTGATGGTTTTGGCATAGATGTCCTGCAAAAAATTTTAGCTATGATAGAGAATTGTAAATGGGCAAGATAAGAACAAAATTTGCAGCAAATCCCCAATATGCTGTCTGGGTCTTTTCCCTCACCTCTGGGGTACAATCAGCTCAAACTGTTATTCACACCCTTGTCTAGCAAAGCAAGTTTAATACTATCTAAGGGTACTAGTTCCCACTTTTGGCCCCAGGAAAGAGGTTCATGTTGAGTCTCATCTCAAATGATTCACAACCCCACCCCCACTCCAGAGTGGGGGGAGGGCGATACCCAAGAAACAGCCAGATTCTTATAGTCAAACTCAGGTGTCATCAAGCTAGAGTATCTATTGCTTTACCAGTCATGGGAGAATCCCATGCAGATAAAAAATGAAACATCAAAATTTGTATGCAGAGAAAAAGAAATCGAATGACTCAGTTCCCACTTCGGTTGTTAAGAATGAACCACATTCTCCCTAAGAAGAAATGATCAAAATCCTGTGATTGGTATCCATATTTCTAGTGATTTAAAGCACTCGCCTGGGCTCCAACCCTAACTCTGTTTTTCTCCCTTAGATTCATTTTCCTCGCCTGTAAACCAGTGAGGTGGGAGAGGGTGAATGGTTATACTTGTATCTCACAGGATTATTGCCTGGATGAAATAATAACAATCAAATTTTTGCAGTCCGCTAAATATGTTCGCCATTATTCTAAATTCATTGCATATACAGCATCTCATTTAATTTTCAAATTATAAATATTATCCCATTTTCCAGATGAGGAAGCTGAAGCATAGTTCAGTAACTTGCTGAAGATCATAGCTAGTGGCGGAGCTGGAATGCTAATTCAGGTGATCTGGCTACAAAAAAAAGTACTGACACATTGCCAAAATGCAAGAAATGTGCACAATAAATGGTACTAGTCACACATCGTGTATACCAATCCAGACAAAATAGGTTAAGTGATAGCCTGTTTGAGATTTGGCCTCCCTACAAAAGACCAAGGCACGACCGGAGTCTCCAGTCCTCTCCCTAACTCCCCCAAGCTCCCTTCTTTCCCAAGCATCCCCAGCAGCCCGGGGCGCCCTCTCTCTCCTAATCCCCAGAATTTCCTGTTGCGCTTCGCGCAAGCAGTCGAGAGGTACCCGCGCGCGGGACGCCAACTCCGGGCCGCGCGAGGTGAAGGATGGAGGGGAGGGGAGGCGCCTGGCATTTACCTTGACCTGCACTCTCATCGCTCCGGGACTCCGGGGCGCCGCGCGCCGGGACGCACTGGGGCGCAGACAGCAGCCTGGGCACTTCTCCCGCTGCCTCCCGGAACCGCGACGGCCGGCTCGTCCAGGTCCCGGCAGGCCAGACGTGCCCCTCCGCTACGAACTGAGCCTTCTCTCCTCCCAGCTCCCGACTCACGCCACGTCCGGTCCCCTGTGCAGCCGGCCCGGAGCGGAACCAGAGAGCTGCCTCCTCTCCCGGGACGGGTCCCCACCGCCCTAAGCTGAACCCCAACTCCGTTAGGTTTCTGCTCTGATACCACCTCCGCGCTGGCCCCATTCCAGCTCCAGGAACGGGGGCTGTGGGGCATGCCCTTAAATAAGAGTCCTATGGTAACCGAACCCTCGGATATGGTAATCAGCTCTGGGTGGAGACCAGAGGACTTGAGAGCAGGTATTTCGTAAGTCCTAGTTATTCTAGATCCCAGTTAGATAGCGTGCGGCTGGCCCCACCCACAGCCACCCAGGGCCCTGGGCTCAGATCTGGTAAATGGCCTAAGGCTCTTTGCCCCACCGGCTGGCAGCCCAGCATACCTGTAATCGCTCCACAGATCGGGCTCCCATCTTGGACCTGCAGGCCCTGCTACCAAAGCCTTATCTGAGCTTCTGACTTGTGGAGTCAGATGTGGCTCCACCTCCACATGCTGCCTTTTACAGCCCTATAGATTTGTCACAGTACCTTTTGGGCACAAGTAAGTCCAGTGTAGAAAGGAGGTGATGCCGACCTTACCTGGATCAGTATAGGGAAGGTCAAATGAAATGTTCATCATCATCACAGACATTTTACTGAATTGTTCTTGTTGAGTCAGTGTGGTGCGGGTAGGACACTGGAGATATACTATCCGGGATTTACTGGGTGTTAGATGACCCCTCTGGGCCTGGGTTTATTTATCTATACAGATAAGCGAATAAATCCCCTTTCCTCAGAGGCTACACTCAAATCCATAAAATAAAATCAAAAGCTTTGTGATTTCTGTGGGTTTCTCTGGCTACGCTGTCTTGATTAATTAGTGGCTGTGGTCAGTTACTATGATTGAATCCCAGTATGTTGGCAGAGATCATGCTCACTTATTACAGGTGTTGTCATTAACAATGCTAACCATTCATCCCTAACTGACTTCAAATTAAGCTCACTTTGTAGTCCATTCTGAATTTCTGCCCAGTGAGCTCACACTGTGAACACTGTTTCTTCCCTCATTTCTGAATGTGGTTTTAATTTTTCTTTGTTAAAAAACTTGAACATATCATACGTATATTAACATTTTGTTGTTTTTCTATTAACACATATAATCTCCTTCTCCTTGACCCAGTTCCTTCAAAACGTTCATGATCTGTGAGCAATTAACAGGTTCAGCAGCCCCCTGTGAAGCAAGTAAGCCCCTTTTGATTGGTGTTTCTCCATACATCTCCCCTGTTAGGTCTGTCACAGCACAAGAGACCGGGAGCTTTCAGAAATCTGCAGACCCACCAAGAAGGATAGATATTTGGAACTCAAGATTCTTAAGAGTGTTGGTACACTGTAATCAACCATCTTCTAGTTTAATCTCTTTGGTAAGTTTACATGTTAGGATGATCACATATTCTTTTCAGATCAAGCCTCAGGACAGAGAGTCTAAAATAAGAGGGCGATTCCAGGGCTTAAGGCATCTGGTGTGCTGGTTTACACACTGCCTTTGGTTCCCAAGCTGTATCAGAAACACCTGAGGCATTTGTTGAAAGTGCAGATTCCCAGGCCCCACCCAGACCATCTGTATCAGAATTTCTAGGCGGGGTGGGCAGGAATCTGTATCTTTCATAAGCACCTCTGTCAACTTAAATGCTTGTCTATAAAAGCCTTCTGGTCACAAATACACCTATGCCAAGAGGCTAGCTATGAAATTTAAATTTTAGGGTGTTCATTAGTAGTCTAGTGTGGCTTAATACAGCCCAACAAATATTTCCTGAACACAGACTGTTTGTCAGGCATCCTGCTGGGCATTGTGGAAACAAAGATGAATAAGACATTGTCCAGTCTGCAAGGAGTTTGTAGGGAGGCGAAACAGTCAAAAGTGAAACAGTACCTGGTGCACCATTGGTAACTCAACATAAACAACTTTTATTTTCTCTTTCGTTGTCCTCCCTAATCCCTTTCTTCCTCTTCCCATTCTCTTCTCCTATGTTTTCTTCTTTGTCAGACCTCCCTTTTTACCCTGGACATTATAAATGTTTTATTCCTGATCTAACATGATTTTAACGTACTACTCCAACTTTTAAAGTCAACCTAATGACTTCAAAATGGAGAGGAACAGCTGATTTTTCAGCACAGAAAAATGGGTTTAATATTTTTTTTAATATGTGAAGATCTTAATGAGTCACACTTATTGGAGGACATAAGAAGTAGTTTCTTTCTTCTTTTTAAGTTTCTTTTTTAAAAAAAAAAGCTTTATGTTTTATTTATTATTTAATTATTTTATTTTGGTGGGGGGAGGTAACTAGGTTTATTTATTTTTAGAGGAGGTACTGGGGATTGAACCCAGGACCTCATACATGCTAAGCAAGTGCTTTACCACTTGAGCTGTACCCTCCCCCTAAGTAGTAGTTTCTAATATATGTATTCTTCTCCTAAAGAAAATTGTTTGATGCTTGGATTTGGTTTTGGTTCAGATTCCTTTATTTAGATAGGGCTGAGGGTTGTTGGGGATTTTGAACAGTAATACTTCTCAGCCCCTCTGGACAGCCCAGAAAAGAAAAAAAAATGAGAAATAAGTAGCTCTGCTTCTTTGCACCAAGAAGAAATCACCATGAGAAACTCTTGCCCAATGTATTATGGTATATTATCATCTCTGGTCTGTAGTTTTCCCTTTAGATCCCCACCACCTTCCTTTCAAAAGCATAAAGGAAACAAAATAAATGCAGTTGCATTCTTACCAAGATAATGGAAACTATAATAAACTCAGAGGGCATTCCACAAGTGGGAGAAGTTTAAAGGTATGAGTTATTAATCTGAGATAAAGGTGTACTGCCAGTAATGAGGGATGAAATTCAGCCCTCCAGTCCATTCCTGCATAACTGTTTCCGTTTTCAGACCTTCCCATTCAGACCCAAGGTGCTGAGTTTGAATCCCAACCATTCATTCTCCTAAACTGCTACAAATCAAGTTTCCTTTTGAAAGGCAGCAATATATTTTCTTATGCCTACTGAACAAATATTTCTCTTCTTCAGTGTTTCTATGGGAGAATGCTCCGAATTTGTTTCTCTGCTATGAAAGTGGATTATTTATTCTGTCACAAAAGCAAAGATTAAAATTTTCATAGTTAGCAAGGGGAGAAATAGAACCCCCCAAACACTTTTGGTAAGAGTTTAAAATGATATTCTTTTTGAAGGCATTCTAGAGATCTGGATTCTAGGCATATCCTTCTCCATCACAATTCCAGCCCTCATACTTCAGAAATGCACTGAGATATGTGTATAAAGATATACAAAGTAGTATCCTTTGTAATGAAGAAAGATTGCCAATAATCCAAACAGCCATCAAAGGATCTTTAGAAATAAACATGTGGAGCGTCCATACCATGAAATACCAGGCAGCTTTTAAAAGAATGTGATCTAAATGTACAGATATGGAAAGGGGAAACAGCAACTAGTGAAAGTAAATACAATTCTTCAGCCATAAAAAACGACAACATAACGCCATTTGCAGCAACATGGATGCCCCTGGAGAATGTCATTCTAAGTGAAGTAAGCCAGAAAGAGAAAGAAAAATACCATGAGATCGCTCATATGTGGAATCTAAAAAAAAAAAAGAAAGAAAGAAAGAAAGAAAGAACATAAATACAAAACAGAAACAGACTCATAGACACAGAATGCAAACTTGAGGTTGCCAAGGGGGAGGAGGGTGGGAAGGGATAGACTGGGAGTTCAAAATTTGTAGATACTGACAGGCATATGTAGACTAGATAAACAAGATTATACTGTATAGCACAGGGAAATATATACAAGATCTTGTGGTAGCTCACAGCAAAAAAAAAATGTGACAATGAATATATGTATGTTCATGTATAACTGAAAAATTGTGCTCTACACTGATTTGACACAATATTGTAAAATGACTATAACTTAATAAAAATGTTTTAAAAAAGCATGATCTAAACATTGTTTAGAATAAATATTCACCAATGGAAAATTGTTTGCACAAAAAAAGTAAATACAATTCTACTTTTTAAATTTATATGCGTATGTTGGAATATTGACAGGAAAGTCCTAGAAGAATATATGCTGAAGTGTTAACAGGAGAAAACATACATATACTAAAAAACTATTGGTTGCTTATCTGAAATTCAAGTTTAACTGGGGGTCTTATCACACAAGATTGTTATACAAGCCCACGTTGGTGGCGTCGGGCAGCTGTGGGTGCTGTTAGAAAGTGTGTATTACAAACACCGACACTGGTACCTAGGCTCCTTTAGAACTGCGTCTTCACATTCAACTTTGCATGATTCTTGAAGGGAAGAAAGGAGGAGTATGAAGATTGAGCACCTGAAACAAAAGGCCAGGCACATGGCTAGATACCACCGTTTGCAGGCTTCTTGAAAACAAACACAGCTGATACTATAGCTGATTTACTGATCATAGACTCCTCTCTTCCCAGCAGCGTACCTCTTTGCAAGGTGATTTTGCAATAGCCCTCCCACACACAGGCCTGTCTCTCCTCCACACCACGAATCTGAGCTAGATTTGTGGCCAGTAAAATGTGGCCAAAGTGACATGGTTTAAGTTCCTGAGCTTAGGCCTCCGGCAACCCTGAAGCTTTGGCCTTCACCCTACTGAAATACTGCCCTGAGACCACCATCCTAGAAGACCACTTGGAGAGCCCAGCCAACCCTCAGAATCATGACAAATAATGAACTAATGGTATTTTAAGCCACTAAATTTGGGGGTAACGTGTTGTGCCTAGACAGATAACTCAGTTTCCTTCCTTATTGTTTTCCTCATTTTGTTTTCTTCCTGCACAAAATCTCTGAGAGGCTTCAGTGAGGGTCAGAAATCATTGTATCACCAGTCTCACAGCTAGTCAGGTATGAAGCCAGCCAGGATTTGAACACAGGTGTGTGGCTGTAAAGGTCTATTGTTTTCTCTACAGACACCTTGAACATAATGAGCATTCATTACAAATGTAGTTGGATGACTGAATCAGAACTTAGTTTTTGTCACTCATATATATCAGAATTAAGAATATACTTACTTGACAAGAAATGTCTACAGTAAGA